TGCCCGCCCGGCGCCGCCGCCGCCGCCGCCTCCGCGGGTCCCACCCGGGACTGAGCGCCGCCTCGGCCCGCCGCTCCTGCCACTGGCCTCTCCCGAGCGTTCTTGGGCTCTCCGGGCCCCTGGGTTTCCTGGAGGATGCCCGACGCCGGGCACTATTTCTGAAGGGCCCCCACTGGGCGCCGCCTTCCCAGTTCCTGGGCGCTGTGTCCGCCTCCCCTTGCCGTGGACCTCGGGGGACCCTGAGCTGAGTCCCCCCTACCCCGCCTAACCCCAGCTTTTACGCTGGTCCTGGGAGAGGGACCACTCGGCCACCATGCCTGATTTGGACATCTCCCAGGATCCCACCAGCCCAGCTAGTAGCCCAGCAGTACTGGGACGCGGGAGGGAAGGCGCCAGGGAACGAGCGCCCCCAGAGGCGCACCGCGGCTCCCTGCGTGGCGGGTGGGGTGGGTGTGTACTGGGGTGAGTGGTCGCCCTGCCGGTTGCTGCTCTCCTTCGCGTCTTTTCGGGACCCTTCCCACTGCTGCCCGGTCTGTGCTGTGCTGAGATCCGTTAAGGCTCCTTCAAGTCCCGTACCCCAACACTGCGATGTGTCCACTCTAGCTTGGAGCAGGGGCAGTCTTGGGGTGTCCTATGGAAGGCGGCTCGCTGCTGGGCCCCTCCAGGGCTGTCGGCCAGAGGGAAGTGTCGCTGGTTCTTCCGGCTTTCCTGGGTGTCTCGGGTCTCCAGAAAAGCCTGATCTCCCCACCACTGCCCTGGTGGCGCCAGAAGCTGGAGACTGCGGAGCCCCAGCTACACCTCCGAGGAGTACCCCTGACTCGATGTTCCGAGTGTCCTCCTCTGGACAGTTGAAGCCGGAGGTGGCGGCGACGCTGGCTGCGCTCCTCTCCCCGCTGCCCGGCCCTCCTCGGGCCCCGGGCGAACTTGGGCAGCGGCCGCGCGACGCTGGCGCGGCTGGGCTCCGAGCACCTGCTCCTCCGCTGGCTGGCCCGGCCGCTCCGCGCGGGCGGGGCGGCGGCGGCGGCGAGCGCTGTGCGCTCCTGGAGACGCGGTGCTGACGCGCCCTGGCTCCTCCTCGCTGCATTTTAATTCCTGGCCATTGTGGCCGCTGCACACCCCGAGCGGGAAGCCTCTTGCTGGAGTCAGCGGGGTAGAGGATGACTGCACAGATGTGCCGAGGAGTGCAGGCTTGCGTGCCGAGTGTAGAGTCATAGACACAATGTGTTTATGTGGTGGATTGTGCATACAAGTAGGAAAGGGCTTCTGGGTGCCTGAGAAGAACTGTAGAGGGAGCGAGTCAGTCGTGGTAAAGTACAGGCTTGTAAGAGAGTTTGTTGATTATTGTGTATCGAATGGGGGGGGGGTATGTTATCTGTGTGTTATGTGTGTGAGAGAGAGACAGAGTGAGAAACAAGATGTAAATATAAACAAGCTTGGTGATGTGCTATGGAGTCGGAACAGAATCGTAGCTGACCCTCCAACGGAAATCAGAGACAGTAAATCACATGCCAAGGAGATTGCCCATACTTCTCCCATGGAGCAGCTGGTGGATTCAAACTGTGTGCCTTTGGAGTTTCAGCCCAGTTCCTTACAAATAGACCTCCAGAGCTGGATATTTAAATGTGTGGTATATATAGGACACAATGTCTATGATGGGCTGTGTTTGTGTGTGTGTGCGCATACATTCGATGAGTTTAAGACTGAATGAGTTCACCTGTGCTGATGGATTCAGCGATTCCAGATATGGGTCATGACCGGTGTGTTCTGCATGCGTGTATGTGTGCAGATTGTACTTGCAGAGTTTGTGTTGAGACGCTGGAAGCAGTTACTGGCAGGTTGGGCTCAGCGGGACAACCCTAACCTCTGCCTGTTAATTGTTTCTGGCGTCTGTCCCACCCCTTCCTTCACCTATGTCCAGGCAGCCAAGCCCAGCTCTCCCATGAGTCTGGGTGGGAGAAATATTTCTATGGTCAGGAAGCAAGACTTCCTCCCAGAAGACACCTATTTCCACTTGTGAGGTTCTCACTGCCCTTTGGGTAATGGTGGCACCATTTCCTCCTGAACCGGCTCACTTACCCTGCCAGGCCCACTTATTTTCCCTGGATACTTTAGAACACTGTTAACTTGGCCTGTTGACTGTTTTGGCTTGACTTGGCCAGGAAGACAGATGAGGCCTGCTGTATCCTGCTAGCACCGTTTCATTGATGCTACCAAGGAGGGCAAGTAACCAGTCCAAGGATATACAGTCCGTAAGTGGGTAAAGCTGGATTCAGCACTCAATTCCCTGAAAACCCTTCTCTTCCTGCTGCACCCCTGGGCCTGACAGTTCACCTTTCCTGAGCCAGGAGGCTTGAGAGCAGGATCTGGACTCTGGCTCCTGTGGCTGCTAGTGCACAGTAGGGCTTCACCCAAATATGCCTGACACCTGATTCACTCAGGCCTGCTGGGGCTGCTCTGCCTCACTTCATTCCATGGGATGAAGCTTTCCAAGCACTTTCCAGAGACTAGACTTTGATAACAGACCGTGAAGTGATCCTGAAGGGGAGGGGTGTAGAGTGACCTGTCCTTGAAAGAGACTGATATTTTGCGGAGGAATCCTCTCACATTATGGTGTTGGACTGCGCACTCTTGCCAGATCTTGAATAATCAGCAGGTGTTTGAGCAAGAGAATCAGTGCTGGGGTGGAAGTTACCCCTTCAACACCATCTCCATAGAGGGAGAGATTTTCCTTTTGAGTCCATCCATCCCCCACTTACACACATACACATGCTACACACATGTACACAAAAATACAAATTCACAGACACATGAGCATTTGCAGACTCTACACATAAACTAACACATGTACATACTATGCCACACACACACGAGGCCCTTCTCAATCACCTGGAGAAGGAGTAGTTTAAGGTTGGCTTCTTTGTAGTTCTGTTTTGGAAGCCGATCTTTGACAATGTCTACTAGTGGGCTGTGTTGGAAGAGGGCATGAGTTTATCAACTTGATTGGAGCCTTATAAAAAGGCCAGTGCTCCCAGCCTGGCCCCAGGGATTCCAGGGATGCCACATGACCTACATGACAGCTAAAGTGGGGTGACTCTTTGCCCTCTGGGAAGCTAAGAATCAAGCAACCAGAAGCAGGTCTGTGTGATGCCTTTCAGCATCTTCTCTCTGGGGTGGCATGAAACTCGAGTCTATTAAAATAAAGCAACATAACTTTTAAAAGTCTATAGTTGAGATTTGTTCAGTTCATCCTTTTTCTTCTTTCCTTGCAGTTTTCCTCTTGAAATGCACACCTGCTGTTCTTCGTTGACTCTCTTCTTCTCTGTCCTTGTGTTTTCCTACGAGTTCTTCCAATGGGTATTCCTTCAAGGAAGAGAGCTGCGTCTTGTTAGGGCCTGAGAGGGTTTGGCATAGAAATCCAGGTATGGACATTAGGGCAGCTAGTGATCAATCACCAGACAGGCCTTCCGTAGTACTGTGTGCACACTGGATGGATGGATAGATAGCCTGATTCTGCACCATCCTCACCGTTACTGGCCTCACCTACACTATCATCTCAGTAGTTTGTTAATTTGTTTCACCAGGAGTCTCCTGTGCCCCTGCTGACCCTCCTCTTCATCAGACATGTTGCTCCCCTGCCATGATTGGCCCCTCTTAATTATGTATCCAAAGCTAGCAAATCAGACAATGTTTTGTCGTGTCTCTGAGGTTTTCGTTGGATAACTTTTGGAACGAGATTGCCAAGCCTTTATTCCTGGTTTGTATAACTTTGGAAGCTTCACTGAAACCTGACTACCTACTGGTGACTGTGCTGGCATTTGATATCCTGGTGACATAGCTTCTGGTATCCCAGCAACATATAAGCCACTACAGTACAATAAACCAATTGATGAATTGTATGAATTGTACATGCTCTCTCCTCTATACCGTCTCTTACTAACTCTTTAATTAACCCAGTAAAGCTCTTCAAATCCCAGTTAAACTTTGCCTCCTAGGTGAAGACAGCTTTGATTCTCCCAGATAAGCCTAGTCCCTCTTTCCCTGTGTTCCCAATACACTTGGATTGATACCACCATCATTGTTGTTTGCTATAGAGTTGGAGCTGACCCATAGCTGACCCTTCAGTGGATTTTCAGAGGCATTAAATCACATGGGAGGAGATTGCCCATCCTTCTTCCACGAAGCATCTGGTCTCAAACCGCGTGCTTTTGGAATTACAGAACAACTTCCTATCACTAGGCTACCAGAGCTCCCTTATTATATTGCCTTTTAATATAGTTCTTATAACATTGCCTGGTCATTTGCTCCCATTCAAGGCTTCCTTATCTGGACTATAAATCCTGGAGGACTGTGTCTCAGTCATATTTGTGTCCCTACCTCTTATTATAGTGCCTTGGTTAGCTGACGAAACACACTGATACAGAGAGAAAGGTTATAGGAACTAATATTTCTTGAATATTGATTATATGCCAGGCAGTAAACTAGATACATAAACATTATTCTGTTTAATTTTTCTCTAACCCTGTAGGGGAAATAAGTATTTTGCTATATTTTTTTTTACAGTTGATATACCAAAGGCTAGGAGAGTAGAAATTGACCTGAACTCTGCCTTATTCCAAAGTCCAAGATTTCCCACCTTCATTATGCTTCTTTCAAAAGAATTTTGAGAATAATATTAACATAATATATAATAAGAACAGTGTAAAA